TTTGATATCTGCAGCAAACACTCTCAAGCAAATTTTAGAGTATATAATTCTTAATTACAAAATTTCATAATAGTTATCATCAAAACATAGAGATATTATTAAGAACCAATTTGTGTTCTAACACATGTGGCAAGAGTATAATTAATACAATATCATATATCATAAAGGCTTGTAGATGTTCCTGTGTTTGATAGTGATATTGAATAATATTCTAAATGATAATGAATTTAAAAGTGATGATTTGAGTGATTAAGATCTCAAATCTAATCAATATAATTCCATGTAGGATGCCACCAACATCATTGATGACATCCCATATAATGAAGAAGAAAAGTGCAAAGATGTTAATTAAGAGAATTGAATGATAAGGAAGTTAGTGTTGATCCACATGAAGAGGAACGGGAAAAAACTCTAGAAGAAGTGGAAGAGGATACCTAACTAGATGAACCAGAGGCTGATAATGATGAACCTAGTAAAGAATACATATAAGAAGAAAGTTTTTGATGCTAATGTCAACCAAGAACTTGAAATTAGCAATAAATATGTCTCTAAAAATGTCCTAGACAACCTGACTGGCATGTTAGAGATAAAGTCCCCAAACCAAAAAGATGTTGATCAAGCTGCCTCTGAAAATCCTAAAGTCAAAGAAGATGTTAATGATGTCTTTGACAAAAATGTTGACAATGTTAATGATTATGTTCTTGTTAATGATGAAGTCCTAAATCATGTTGTTCATATGAACAACGAAACCACTATCAAGTATGCTAAAAGATCAAAGAAAATAATAGAGACAAAGAAGCCAATGCTAAAAGATAAGAAGACTTCGTCCAAAAAGTACACCACTAATAACAAGAAGAAGGAAGAGGTTACTAAAAAAAAGAAATCCGAAGAAAAGAGGGTTACTATTAAAAAGTCAGTGGGTAAGAAAAAGTCTACACCAACCTGTCTGACATGTTAGAGACTGAGTCCTCAAACCAAAAAGATGTTGATCAAGCAACCTCTGAAAATCCTAAATTTATAGAAGTTGTTAATGATGTCAGTGACAATAATATTGACAATGTTAATGATTTTGTTCCTGTTAATGATGAAGTCCAAAATCATGTTATTCCTATGAACAAGGAAACCACTATCAAGTATGCTAAAAGATCAAAGAAAAGAATAGAGAAAAAGAAGCCAATACTAAAAGATAAGAAGACTTCGTCCAAAAAGTACACCACTAATACCAAGAAGAAGAATGAGGTTATAAGAAAAAGAAATCGGAAGAAAAGAGAGTTACTATTGAAAAGTCAGTGCATAAGAAAAACTTTGCACCAAAAAGGAAGAAGGCTATGGTTGTAAAATATGTTGACAACAACTTAAAAGTAATTAGATCATAAGAAGAAAGAAGATACTAAACAATGTACCTGTTGTACCTCTTGATAATGCCTTGTTTCACTCAGATGAAAGTTTGTGTACCATAGAAGATTTTCCCCTAAAAGGGAGCCATCAAAATAAGCTTTGAACATCATAAAGTTATTGAGCTTCTAGAAGACACTCAGATCACGAAGACCGTATCCAACATTGGACCATTTTATCCTAAGTTAGTCAAAGAGTTCATAGTAAATCTGCCTAAAAGATTTAATGATGCATGAAGTGGAGATTTCAGAAAAGTTCATGTGAGAGGCCATTATTTTAGGTTCTCCCCAACAATCATCAATGAGTATCTGGGATGAGGAAAATTGATAAATGTTTATCGTGTTCCACCTTTGAAGATCATAACTCAAGAGATAATTGGTGATGTCCACAAGGAATGGTCGGTTAAGAGTCAACTGACCTCTATAAGTCTAAGTGTCAAATATGCTATTCTTAAAAAAATTGGAGTAGCTAACTGGGCTCCTACAAATCACATTTCAAGTATCAGTATCTCACTTGCTAGACCTTTGTATCAGATAGGCACAAGAGTTGGGTTTGATTTTAGTGAATATATGTTTGACTAGATCTTGAAACAGGCTAAATCCTTTGTTGTTAAGATGCTCATAACCTTCCCCTCTTTAATTACTAGTATGTTGATGAAACAAAAATATGATATCTTAATTGCTGAAGATGTTGTTGGTGTTCTCCGTAGTCCATTAAATTTCAGTTACATGTTATTTATTGGGAACAATGTCCTAGATATTGTGCTCCCTAACTTTTCAAATTTTGGTATTACTAATTTGTAAATAGGTGTCAATCCGTTAGAGGTCCTTCATATGCTAGGAGCTGTAAGAGGACATGTGCTAAATGAGCCCATGCATGTCTCCAGAACTCTTCAAGATCATATTGTCACATCCATAACTAGGAAAAGTAAAGTTGATGATCTCATCAAGCTCATGAATTCTAAAAGTTTTGAAGCCTTCACCTCTCAAGATGAAGGACATAGTGCTAGGAAGGGTGCCAAGAAAGATGATGATAAGGATGTGGAAAAGGATGCAAGTGAAGATAATGTGCAAGAAAATAGTGAAAGTAATGAAGAAGAGGAATACAAACATATATCCTCTAGTGACTCTAAGTGATTTTTCGGTTGGTTTTTGAAGTTTTTGATTAATGGTTTTGTACTCCAAGTGTTTGAAAGAATTATTTATTCTATTCTCTACCCCTGTGTGGGTTTTATTATTCCGTTGTTGTGATTTTCCTACATGGATCAGATAATGGTTTATGTTACCCTTTATCGGGATGGTTTCTATTTTTGTTTTTCTGGTGCTTGTGCCCATCATGGGGCTGGATTTTTTGGTGTTTGACTACCCCTTGTCCATTTTGAGGTAATAAGGGGGAAATGATATGCTCACAATATGCAAGACGTTTTTCTTTTTAATTTATGGCGTTCTTAGTTCTTCTGAAGTTCTGAAGAAATCATGCTTATGCTTGTGATATCTTATTTTGATTAGTTTCTCTTTTTTGCCGCACCCTGAAGTTTTGACAATCATGTCTGTAAGATTGTGCGTAACATCTTTCATGATGTATTTGCCTAAAAATCGACCAATTGGGGGGGAGGGTTGTTATTACATATGTTTGGAGATATTTTATAGGCAACATGTGAAGCAAAATGTTATGACAAGTTGTGATGCATTCCTTGTTTCTGTTATCAAGTAAGGAAGCAACATGTTTAACATAATATTCATCAGTCTGTGAGACATTTAGTCTCGCCTATAGTAGTTTCGCTCTGAGTGATTCTTGCGCTGTTTAAGGGTTTGTTTTCTTATTTATCTAATCAGTTTTTTAACCATTTATGTGCTTTTTGGAATAGTGAAGTTTTTGTAAAGATCATTATGGGCAAGTCTAAAATTGAGAAATTCTAATATGAGCTTTTTGGAATAGTGAATTTTTTGCAAAGATCATTATGGGCAAGTCTAAAATTGAGAAATTCTAATATGATCAAGATTTAATCAATCAAATATTTTTAATAAACATAATAAAAGATTGATTTCTTGCGCTTTAAATATGTTTAGCCGCCCTCAAAGATAACAACCTAATGGAGTTTTTATGCTGGACCTAATTGCTATTTAAGGAAGAGTTTTCCATTGTAAAGACCTAGACTTTCCACAAACAAGATAGACATGTACTTTTATTTTGAGTCCTTTTGTTTTGTAATACTCTCCTCTTGATTCTAATTTTATGTTAAAAGAATAAAGTAGTTTGTGTTGTAATTTAGTTTCATCATTCTAAACAAATGTAATTGTTCAAAGATTAGGGAGAATGTTTGAGTGAAAGTGAGAAGAATATCATATTTAAGGGGAATTTTGAATAAAAATTCACGGATAATATTAGAAAAAAAGACATTAAACTATGAGAGTTCAAATTAGACCAATTTGTATTTCTGTCTATTAAAAATAAATTTTATTTTATTAATTTAAAATCCTCTAGACATAAATAATTTTATATTGAATTGAGTTACCAACTCATGTGTTATTTTATTTATTGCATTTACCTTAGAGAAATGATATTCTTACACCTACACCGTATTTTACTGTTCACCAATACGGTGAACAGTGAAATATTATAATATTAAATATATATATTTTTTTAAAATATAAATTTTTTTTTTTATTTATTTTTAAATTACATACTACTGATATGAAATTGTGTAATTAACCAACTTTATAACTTCATTAACCAACATTTTACATGTTATTAACCAATTTTATTTACTGTTAAAAAATATTTTTAATACTGTATGTTTATTAACCAATTTCATCACTTCATTAACCAACTTTTTATATTTTATTAATTAATTTTATTTCATAATTTAAAGAATAATTCACGAGTCACTGTTTATAACACTGTTAATAAATATATTATTTTATTAAAAAAATACACTGTTAGAAGTATTAGGGTAGGAAAGTGTTATATGAATAGCATTACTATTTACCTTATGTGTTACATTTATGATACACATTATTACAACATTATCTAACATTTTATAATTTGAAAAACAAAATTTCAAAATTCAATTTCTTTGATCTTTACCATCCTATGATCGATGTATACTGCGAAATAATTGCTTATTTGTTCTTAGAAGATTCAGTTAATTAAGTGTTGATGCGTAGAACAGAATGAATTACTTGCAGTAATAGTTGCAGATGTTCGTCATAAAATTTCTTTTTGACGCGTCTAGGAAATCTATATTGATTATTTAATAAGTGGATTATTAAAAAAAAAAACAATAATAAATTGTGAAAGTGGATGTGTCCGCAATTGTATTATTTGTTGTTTGATTATGCATCGCTAATGCCGGAGGAAGTGGCATCTCCATTTTCCATAAACTCAAAAAATTGTATATGGATTACTTTACTACTACCACTCACAACTTGTAACCCTCTCAACTAACTACCAGACAAATTCACCAATCTCAGCATCTTCTCCCAATCTACGTGCCTAGATACCCTTTCTTCTTTTCATGCTCTTTCTATTCTACTTATAACATAACTACCATTTTTTTCTCTTCCTTTTTCCTTACTAACTAACTCGCTTCTCATTTCTCAATCATGGCTTCTCTGTTTCACTGTCCTGCAACTCGATTAGGAGATTCTTCTGCCTTCTTTCTTCCCACCCGTAGTACCCGTTTCATAAAGATTCATACCCATAAGCCTCCACTTCGTTGCTCTTTGGATTCTAATGTTTCCGACATGAGTATCAATGGTTAGTATTCTTTACTTTTACTTTACTGTTACTGGTTGATATATCTGAATTCAATTTTCCCCAACTTATGTGTTTTCAAATTCAATTTTCTGATGCTAAATTGAAAGGTGATTCTAAAATACTACAAATACAATATGAATGTTTGTTAACCTAATTTTGACATGAGTTCTTAATGAATGTTCTTGCTGGATGAGAAGTTGTTTGTGGGATTATGCATGTGATTGTAGATATTAATATTTGTCAATTTTATGTAACATTTCCTCAGATGAAAATTTGACAAAATAAATGTTTTTTTTACTTTCACTTGCCAGCGCCAAAAGGACTGTTTCCTCCTGAGCCTGAACATTATCGAGGACCGAAGCTGAAAGTTGCTATCATTGGAGCTGGGCTTGCAGGCATGTCAACTGCAGTGGAACTTTTGGATCAAGGCCATGAGGTTTGGCTTCGTTTTGAATCTCGATGGCCTACTTATATCATAATATTTTGAAATCGGATGTTGTTATGGTGAATACATTGAAGTGTGAATGTTTTATGTGTTTTCTTGTGTAAACATGGTGTTAAATGAGTTGAGATTATGGATAGTGTGTTGTGTTTATTGTCTTTTCGTTTTAAAAATCGTCTGATTCAGGTGGATATATATGAGTCGAGATCTTTTATTGGTGGCAAAGTTGGTTCTTTTGTTGATAAACGTGGCAATCACATTGAAATGGGATTGCATGTTTTCTTTGGTTGCTACAACAATCTTTTCCGACTAATGAAAAAGGTAAACAATCTTTTAGATGCAATCCAAATGCATTCTTCCTCCTGATTTTTGTTTGCATACCTGTACTATTGCCTTTCTTGCTTTGTCCATTTTTTGTCGTATAAATCCATAATTAAATTACTTTTTCTTCATAATGTTGGGGCTAGGTGGGTGCCGATAACAATCTACTTGTGAAGGATCACACTCACACTTTTGTAAACAAAGGGGGTCAAATTGGAGGTATGTTATAAGCTGCTAATTGTAATGCCTTTTGTTCATTATTTTCTTGTTTATTTTTCCTATCCGTGAGAATGTCACTTTTATGAATAGACTATAGTTTATAATGCACTGTTCTTAACTTAGTTTTACAGTGCAGAACTAGATTTTCGGTTCCCGGTTGGGGCTCCATTACACGGGATAAGAGCATTTTTAACCACAAATCAGCTTAACGTAAGTACGTTGTGTATTCTATTACCATACTGTTCTGATTGCGTGACTGGATCAAGAGTTTTATGCGGAAAAAAGAAAACTATTGTCGTGCGTTTTTGCCTCCTTGGGGCTGTCACTGCACTAACTTTACATATTGTTTATGTATCAGACTTATGATAAGGCTAGAAATGCTGTGGCTCTTGCACTGAGTCCAGTTGTCCGAGCTCTTGTTGATCCAGACGGGGCATTGAGGGATATAAGGAATTTGGATAGTGTAAGATGATGCTATTTTCTTGTTATTTTTGGTCCCTTTCCAAATAATATATCCTGATTATTTATCTTTTTAGCTTTATATTAGGACGGCTTCTACATTTTCCCATTGCGCATGTGCATGCCCATCCACACAATCACATACACACCTGCACCTGCATACAAATGAGCCAGTGGAAATATATCTTTTGCGGCCTTGGCTGTACACCAAATCTATGTCTATCGTTTCACTTTGTACCGTGTTTGTCATCTTCTGTCTTAATGTCAAATTCTGTTCTCTTGACTATTAAATGCATTTCTTCCAGATTAGCTTTTCAGACTGGTTTATGTCTAAGGGTGGCACGCGGACGAGTATTCAAAAAATGTGGGATCCAGTTGCCTATGCCCTTGGGTTTATTGACTGTGATAATATCAGCGCCCGATGCATGCTCACCATATTTGCATTGTTTGCCACAAAGACCGAGGCTTCCCTTTTGCGGATGCTGAAGGGTTCACCAGATGTTTATTTGAGCGGACCTATCCAGAAGTACATCACAGATAGAGGGGGAAGGTATAAACCAGACATAAGATTATTTCCATCATCATAACTATCCAAATTTCTCCCTATGTAGAATCTCATTCATTGCTGGAACAGGTTCCATCTTAGGTGGGGATGCAGAGAAATACTATATGATAAATCTGCTGATGGGAGCACTTATGTTACAGGACTTTCCATGTCAAAGGTGATGAGCTTTATCTGTTCTATTTAAAATCAGTACATGCTTGGTTAGATTTCAAAGAACATTCCAAAAGTCTTAATATTTATTTTTTCAGGCTACTGAAAAGAAAATTGTGGAAGCTGATGCGTATGTTGCTGGTTAGTAGTAGTTTACTTGCGTTGGTTTTTGTATTGATCTCATATTACCGCAACAATCTACATTGTATTAACCAATCATTGACTTGATATCAGCCTGTGATGTCCCTGGAATTAAAAGATTAATCCCACCAGAGTGGAGAGAAAAGGAGTTGTTCAATAACATATACGAACTTGTTGGAGTTCCTGTGGTCACAGTGCAACTCAGATACAATGGTTGGGTTACAGAATTGCAGGATCTAGAACTGTCAAGGTAACTCTCGAAATTTTTGGCTTCATATAGAAACTACGATATTTGATATTTTGTTTCAAGATCAAGCGATGATATAATTCCTTTGATCACTAGTTGGTACATTTCCTTATGAACCCTACATTCTGGATGGCAGGCAACTGAGAAAAGCTACTGGATTAGATAACCTTCTCTATACTCCCGATGCAGATTTTTCTTGCTTTGCAGACCTTGCACTTGCATCTCCTGAAGACTATTACATTGAGGGACAAGGATCGTTGCTCCAGTAAGTGATGTTTATGTTAAGTTGTTTGAGAATTAATTTCAAGAGAGACTTCTGTGAGTTTCTTTAGTGTTTCATACTCAGTATACTGATATTTATATACATGGAAAAATAAACAGGACTTATAATTACGATGAATTGGAGTATTTTCTACAGTCATAATAACTACTTTAGCCATTTCCAACAATTTACATATATAATCATCCATGGCTAAGTATGTTATGCAATTGACGAAACTGCACCATCAGTTCATCATGCAACTTGTAGTTCATGTAGTAGTGCTAGTTTGGATAAACTTTTTCTTAGAGGAAAAAGAAAATTGAAATGATCTTGCAATGTCCATGAATCTTCTATGGATTAACTTCTTGCATAAGTTGAAATTTGCTTATGTACCTCAACTTTTTTAGAAGCTCTCTCATCTAACTTCTCCATGAGCACTTATAAATATAATGACATTTTTGTAAGTTAGGAATGAAATAGTTACAATGGGACTATATATTCTAATACTGCAGAAGTTCCTATTATTACCACTAACAAAAGCTATAAGTTATAATAGCTACCATTATCGTTTTCATTTCAACAATTAATACATAAAATCACACACAAATATGTTGTGTAATGGTTACATCGTCAGTTCAGCATAGATGAATGCACCAGCTTTACGGTTTTTTCCCCCTCACTCCAAGTCCAACATATGTTCACATAACATCTAGTTTTTTGTTGACCCTCTAAGTATGTAATTTCATTTATCCATCTGTCAGATGTGTTCTGACGCCAGGAGATCCATACATGCCCTTGCCAAATGAAGAAATTATTTCAAGAGTAGCAAAACAGGTAGTTTAAAAAATGTGCGGTATTTGTTATGGTTTTGTTTTAATGATCTTTTCATTATTGTTTTGGTAATGGCACAGAAAATGCGCATTTTAAATTGCTTCTAAAATTGCTATCAGGTCACATCACTGTTCCCATCATCTCAAGGTTTAGAAGTGACTTGGTCATCTGTTGTTAAAATTGGCCAATCTCTGTACCGTGAGGGACCTGGCAAAGATCCATTTAGACCTGACCAAAAGACACCAGTGAAGAATTTCTTTCTTTCGGGCTCTTACACAAAACAGGTAAGCTCAAAATATCCTGCACCCTCTTGACTAACATTGTACTCGTGATTGTCTTATCCATATGAAACATATGAGATCCTATAGAGGATCAGTTAATCTTTAAATTTTGGGGTAGGTGCCTCTTTGTGCTTCAAGTGCGTATGAAAAGATTTTATAAAGTGATGTTTTTTTTTATTACTCTAATCGAAGAGTCAAAGGAGGATTTAAATGAGGTTGAGATGAACTTTAAAAATACATGATTTTCGCCTAAGCAGAAGTAAGATGCAGCGTATGGAACGTAAGTTTAGCAAAAGGAGAAGTGCTTCTAACCTAAAGATAAAAGTTGGAGACCATATCATCCCACAAGTTATGCGGTTTAAATATCTTGGGTGCGTAATACAAAACGATGGGGAAATAGAAGTGGATGTAAGCCATCGAATTCAAGCTGAGCGGCTGAAATGGAGGACTCTAGGGGTTTTATGTGACATAAAAGTACCACTCAAACTACAGGCAAAATCATATCGGACAATGATAAGACCTGCAATGTTGTACAAGACAAAATGTTGGGCGTTTAAGAATCAACACTAATAAAGTGTAGCAGAAATGGTGATGTTGTGTTGTATGTGTGGTAAGATTAGATGGGATAAGATTATAAATGACAATATTAGAGAATGTTGTGGTAACAATAGTAGAAAAGATGGTGGAAAAATAGATTTAGGTGGTTTGGACATGTAGAGAGAAGATATGTAGATTAGAGGGAGAAGAGTCAAACAACTAGAGATAGAGGAAGACCTAGAAAAACTATAAGAGAAGCTCTTAAGCAAGATGTCGAGATTAACGAATTGGATAAAAACATGGTCTTTGATAGAACATTATGACAGAATTTGATCCATGAAGCCAACCCATTTAGTCGGATAAGACTTCATTGTTGTTGTTGTTTTAACAAGAAATTCCTGCTTGTTGCTGCATTTGTTTGAATGAAGGCTCAATTGTCAGTGGTGCCATCTTTTATGAAATACCTCAATATGATGGAAGGTGTTATGATGTTTTATTTTACTCGTAACAGTTTACTGGCATATGGAAAAAAAAATATTAGGATAAAGAAATATAGCATGCACCTTTCTGTAATAAAGTTTGTATTAGACATTAGTATGTACTTTTTTGCCATGCGTGTCTTCTTAAAACAAACTCGACTAATAGTCCACTTCCTTCTGGGAATAGAGCTTGCTCCAATTTTTCAAATGGATTTCACCTTTCCTATTGACTTTGTATTCAATCTTTTTATCAACCAACTTTACTTTCTAGTTGATGCCAACATTACGAGGAACTCTTACAACGTGTTTGTCCTGCAATTGCAACATGTTTTCGCCAGTGCGACAGCAGTCTCTATATATCTAAGTTTCACCGATATTGCTGACTCCTATTTATTTTATCTCTTCAGGATTACATAGACAGCATGGAAGGCGCAACCTTATCAGGCAGGCAAACCTCAGCTTATATCTGTGATGCAGGGGAAGAATTGGTGGCATTGAAGAAGGAGCTTGTTACACAGTCTAAAGACGACATTAAATTTACAAACACTAAAGATGAATTGAGTTTAGTATGAGAGGAATATTCAGAGAAGTTAGTCACGTTATATGAAGAAAGCTTGTTCTCTATGCATGTAATATTTTATGTTGTATATTTAATCAAAAACCAATTACAAAATTGTTAGTATTGCAGCAAGTAGTGCTGTTTATACTTGTGAATGGTTGTGTCTATAAATTGTGATCCGTATTCAGTGGTAGACATTCTTAATAAGGAGGTAATGTTGGAGGGAGGAACTGATCACTGTACAAGCAAATTCATTTAGAGAATAATAAATTATGTCGCTATAAACTCTCTTTTTACAATGTCTCTTGAAACTTATGTCCCCTCACCTACCTTGCTCCCTCAAACAAATAAAATTAATAACAATGATATCACTATCAAACATTTCCATGCATAGTAATTCAGAATTTGAAGTTTTAAGCAAATAGAAAATCATGTATACCATATGCCAAGGTTGGACTAGTTCATTCTAATGCTAACTCCAATTTGTTCTCTAGCACATTCTTAACTAACTAATTATTCTCACTTCTAGCCAAATAATGGTTGAGGTAAAATATGCATCGCTTGATAATAATTATACATTTCTCGATCTTTACAAAACACGAAATATTTAATCGAAAAACAAGACATCCACTGTAGGCAGTCATTTTTTTGGGTGCAATTGTCAATTGAAGAGGTTATAGAAATAAGTTAGTTCTGTTGGCTTTTATTTGTGCTAATATTGCTGTTGGGCTTAACTCTAAATAAAATGGGCTAACGTGAAGAAGTTATGAGTTTATTGGCCAAAGAAATTCTGATTCATCTGCAAGGACGCATGTAGAGGTGCCTTAGCCACACATATGAATGAATGATAAAGAAGAGTGGTATGAAATGGCAAAAATATGCTGGTTCAACAGAGCATCCCCTGCACCACCCTTACAGTTCCACTCCCAGGTACTAAATACTAATAATAGCAGAAAGACTTGTGCAATTTATAATATGGCAAGAGAAAAAGACAAAACCCCTCAGGTATTGAAGATTGCTGTCAGTGGAGTCACTGAGCTTCTCAGGCTTTTCTCTCCTTCCCAACAAACAAGGTATCTATGCCATTTATCTAGGATGTGCATGCTGTCTAACATGTGTCTGTGTACTATGTCTCGATCACTTTTATTTTCAAAAATTATTATCGTGTGTATCTGGTGTCTGTGTAAGTGCTCAATGTTCTAGCTAAAAACTGTGTTGAACGAGTCCTACTCCAATTTATTAATATGCAGCATATTGAGCGGCGATATTGAGAAACAGAACAATGAATTCACAGTTTCAAGTGTTGATGATGTTCTAATCATCATCAAGTCTGATTATGACAACGCATATTTTGTCACGGGTACCTTTTTTATTTAATTTCACTCTTAACAAATATTTTGTCACAAAATTGCTCTTACTCCTTAATTTAGCATTAGTTTCAAATTCAGCATCAGCTTCTTTTCTGGTATGTTATTATCTAAAGTGTCTGTTTGTTTGACATATAGGGAACTTCACTTCTTCAATTTATGCAGAAAACTGTATCTTTGAAGATCCAACTATTAAATTTAGTGGTAAGAATCATAGTTTTGCTATCATCAACTTAATTGATCATTGACTAAAAGTTACACATTTCTGTCACTCTCTTGCTGATGTATGTACCATACAGGTAGGGAGTTATACGCGCGAAACTTGAAATTGCTTGTTCCCTTCTTCGACCGTGCCTCAATTAGGCTACTAAAGATCGAAAAGGTAGATATTCTCAGTAAATTAACATTTTTTGCTTCAAAGAAACAGCGTCGTGCTTCACTCACGATATACATTCATAATGCAGGATGTTAAATCTGACACAAATTTTCTGCGCGCATCTTGGAAACTGAGGTGCTTAACTTGCTCATTAAGCATGCTAATCTAACATGTGAATTTATCACTATATGATCCTCAATCTGATATGCAGGACCAATTTAAAGCTTCCTTGGAGACCTCTGATTGCTATCGATGGAAGCACTTCTTATGAATTGGATGATAATTTCAAAGTCAGAATCGAAATGGATTCATGTCTTTTCTGCCATATATATACCTCTCCACTCGTTAACTAAGGGTTGCAACTTTTTTGTTTGACAGATCATTAGGCACGTCGAGAGTTGGAATGTTTCCGCACTCGAAGCAGTTTTGCAGATTTTCACTTTCGAGTTCAAAAAATCGGGCGGTTAATACTTTAATGTCATGAAGTTTCGCATTCATAACAAACACTTTGTCAATGCTTGCATTCATACAAATTAAGGAAAGATTTATAATAGAAGTGTTTTATTGAAATGTATTTTACAGCCACAAACAGAAACTAAAACGCACAAGACATAACACAAATCAATTATGACATCAATGTTAAACAAAAGACATACTAATCATGAGTGTGTTGCCAATTCTCTTTGAACAGCCTTCATAAGCAAGCTATCTTTATCAAGAGCAACAATAATAGGAGAGCCACCAATTCCACGAGCAACTGCATTCATAATCTCCGTCATTAACTTCTTAAACTCGTTTAAATCGAGAGATCCGTTATGATCTTCGTCGAATCTCGTGAATATTAATTCCAACATTCTGTCAACCTCTTCTTGAGGATGCGAATATGAACCTAATGGCATGAACATTCCGAATCCGCCACGAACTTGGTCTCGCGAGAGGCTACCGCCGCCTTTGGTGTCTATCATGGCAAACCATTCGTCCACAAAAGTGTTGAAATTTGGTTTGTCGTTAACAAATTCTGTCACGGTGTTGCTGTTCATAACTGCTATATTCATTTTTGATATTTTGGAATATGGTTGTTGATGTTTGAGGATGTGTGTTTTGCAGATGTATGTATAACGTAATGGTTGCCCTGAGTTCACGTTTCTGACTTTCCGATGGTTGATTAGCCTTTATTTTAGAGTTTTATTATAATATTATAATATGAGCATGATATGCATCATGTAATAAATATATTTTTGTGACAAAATCGTGTAATGTTGAATATACACAAACACACACAACCGTTAAGAGAGTGAATCACAATATTTAATTATCAATAACAATTAGTATAATATCTATAAAATAGAAATAATCAAGTAAACCTCTAATGTTTGAGAAATAATTAGATTGGAGAAATAAGTATATCGATACATTTTTGTAACAAAAAAAAGTTACATATTTTCGATAGGTTTCTAGAATCCAACTAACCTAAACTTTTCGTAACAAAAAAAAGTAGAACAGAAGATGGATCTCTAGCAATGTGATATGATCAAGGCTACGAGTGTTTACTATAATGATGTTCTATTAGCAATGGTGTTGTAGAGAAGACTTGAAACATGTAGGGTTATGAACAAATTAGCCTTCAGAGGTATCATGGCAATTGAAGGTTAGTTGGATTTTTGGGTGGGTTCTATTCCGATGAACTATTTTGCATGAAGTCTCTCATCATTGTTCTCTTATTCATAAGTATTGTACATTTTAAAATTCATATAGGCTGAGTTTTTGCAAATCGAATACGAAGAAGCAAGAAGGTCGGATAATCATAACCTTGCACAAGTCGGAACTTGATTAGGGTTTACTTAAACACAAAGCAAGCACAACGGAACCGATCTCATAATAACTCTGACAGAAGAACATGTCGGACCCGACCTCATGAACGGTGCTAGGAAACCATACGAACGGTCACAATGGACGGTTTCAAAATATCTCCATAAAAGTTATAGAAACTGAAGAAAAAAAATGTTATTTGATAATTATAAAAGGCGGCAGACATTATTCAGAACCACCTTAATGGGGGATATGAAGAAGCATCCTTTTAAAAACCATTGATGAATAAAGGAGTATAAAAGGAGACCCCGATAAGAAAAAGGAAAATTAATACCTCCTAATTAAATAGGGCGGTTATAATCTCTCCCGGCCAACTTTGGAGAGATTTCTTCAAATAGTATTTAACAAGAACAAGTATTTTTCAAGGTTATGGGGCCAAAAGTCTTTTAGGTTTAATAATTTTTGGTTCAAACATTAATTTTTATAACGTGGTTAAGAGTTAGAAGGAGAATGTGTGTGGTTGAGCTTATTCTTAAAGAGATGCTTAAATCTCTTAAAAAGGATCTTAGATGGTGGTACACACAGGTGGTCAATGATATGGACACATAGATTTTTGTTGTCATAAAAAAATTGAATGGAAAAACATAAGTTCTCCCTCACAATGAGGCCTCTAAAACAAAGGCCTTTGCGAATATGTGGTCCCTTTTAAAGTGTTAGCACTCACTCACTTTACAAAGTTTAATATTTCATTCATAAAAAGAAAGGGATGTTAATTCCAACCTCTTCTACGTTAGTATTTAGGCTAAAGGTAAGTGAAATCATATTGTAGTGGTGAAAGTAAGTGATTGTTGGGTTGAAGAGATCATGTATGTGCGCTCGAAGGTCACTAGTTAATTCTATAGTCACTTAATCTCTCTGGATAAAAATAGGAGCTAGATAAGTTATTTTTCAGATTCTTACTCTAGATCAAAGGTTAACATATCATCTGTTTCTTCTAGAGGGAGTTAAATGAAGTAGTTAATTTTGTGATGAGAATAAAGGCATGGTCCATAATTCAACTTCTCTTTCATCAAATATTTGATACCTTTTTATGGATATGATTTTTGGACGATGTTTCACCAATACTACGATAATGCTAAAATTTTTAAGAGTTTCTTATCCTCTTTTTGCTCTTGTGCCGAAGTTTAGCTTTCCCCTCAACTTAAGGGACTTTAAGCCAATCTCATTATCTTTTGGTGTGCGTGCTAGCTTTGATTATGGATCACATTATCTCTCCTAATCAATAAAATTTTGTTAAAGAGAAGTAGTTGGTTGATGAGGTCTTGGTGGTGAAAGGGATTATTTATTTGGTTAAAAAATTTAAGAAAACTAATAGAGAGTGTTTTCTATTTAAGGTGGATTTTAAAAAGACTTATGGCTCAGTGAGGTAGGGTTTCTTAGACTATATATATGCTTGACATTTCGACTTTGAAGCTATGTCTCTTGGATCCATGTACGTGCGTTCTCTGGTAATATATATATATATATATATATATATATATATATATATATATATATATATATATATATATATATATATATATATATATATATATATATATATATATATATATATATATATGCTTATATATAAGCATATATATATATATATATATATATATATATATATATATATATATATATATATATATATATATATATATATGCTTATATATAAGCATATATATATATATATATATATATATATATATATATATATATATATATATATATATATATATATATATATATATATATATATATATATATATATATATATATATATATATATATATATATATATATATATATATATATATATATATATATATATATATATATATATATATATATATATATATATATATATATATATATATATATATATATATATATATATATATATATATATATATATATATATATATATATATATATATATATATATATATATATATATATATATATATATATATATATATATATATATATATATATATATATATATATATATATATATATATATATATATATATATATATATATATATATATATATATATATATATATATATATATATATATATATATATATATATATATATATATATATATATATATATATATATATATATATATATATATATATATATATATATATATATATATATATATATATATATATATATATATATATATATATATATATATATATATATATATATATATATATATATATATATATATATATATATATATATATATATATATATATGTATATATATATATATATATATATATATATATATATATAATATATATATATATATATATATATATTATATATATATATATATATATATATATATATATATATATATATATATATATATATATATATATATATATATATATATATATATATATATATATATATATATATATATATATATATATATATATATATATATATATATATATATATATATATATATATATATATATATATTATATATATATATATATATATAATATATATATATATATATATATATATATATATATATATATATATATATATATATATATATATATATATATATATATATATATATATATATATATATATATATATATATATATATATATATATCTTACTTTAGCATCAGAGTGCCTTGTAGGTACACCCCTCCTCCTTGGATTCCATCATCGAAGGCGAAGTCTCTGACCCACTTCAGGTTCTGATCAACCAGAAAGATCAGTGGTGTCTTTTGTGGGAAACCTATTCGCCCCGTCTTTCTTTTCCTGGAAACCAAAGATCAAAGCAATTTTTCAAAATTCTGATCATGGCCTTCCATGATAACGTCAACGATGCACGCAACACCGTCATCCCCCCATCAGCAAGACAGACAACGACAGGGAAAACCTATTTCTTGGAGACAATGTTCCTCAGCTAAGGGACGAAGTCACCATGTATTCCTCCCCAGATCGCACTAACAACGTATAAATCCAGTACTCAGAAGACCTTCAACCCATCCTAGTTCCGCCCAATGTCGACCCGACCATGGTAGCTCTGGTCGAAGCCCTCAATAAGACGAACATTCTAATCCTCCAATAGAATGTAAGAATTGAAGCATTAGAAGAGATCCACCGTCCAAGATCTCCTCCAACAAGGCGCGAGCACCAGAGATCTTAGAGTCATTCTCCCTAACATGGAAGAAATCACCAAATTCCAGTGGAGCCAGAATCTCTGTCGATGAGGAAATGCGACCACACTCCTCCCCGGAGCCAACACTCCCCAGGGGCCAAGAGAGCAAGAAGATATCTGCGGGCAGAAAACCAACGTTCACCTCCACCCAGACCTAAGGGTCAGTTGCGAACCCCTTCTCTTCGTCGAGATCACGGTCCTCACCCTGGAAGAAAACTCGCTCTTGTTCGTGGTCGAGTAGCTACAACGACGACGACGAGACTCGAGGCCCATTATCCCAAACCACTCGATTACCTAAGGGGCCGGAGAAACCCGTACACTTGGGCACATATGATGGCACGACCGATCCCAACGAACACATCAAGAACATCGATACTCTGCTCGAATACCGTGGCGTCAGAGGCGCCATTAAATGCAAGTTGTTCTCAACGAAACTGAGGAAGGGAGCAATGTCCTAGTACAAGAGCCACCCCTACGAATCCATCACCTCATGGAGGCGGGTTAGGAGGATATTCTCGAGACATTTTACGGCTTCTTTCCCTCATCCGAAGGCAAAAGCCTCCTTCGAGGCTATCATTCAAGAAAAATACGAATCTCTTCGAGCATACATTGAAAGATTCAAAAAATAAGTCGTTCAGATCTCCACGAACGACGGCATGAAAAAACATTTGCTCGAACGAGGGCTTCGTCCCTACAACGACTTTGCTAAGGCGGTTGGCATCGAAACCCCAGCAGCGCTAGATGACCTCCTCCTCAAGGCTCATGCGTATATCCAGTATGGAGAAAATGAAGCAGCAAACACTGCCTGATTTTTAAGGCACCAAGAGAATGCTAGGTCCTCAAAACATGATGACTCCTTGTCAACTCGTCGGGGAGCAAAAAAAAGAAGGGATGACCGCTCCTGGGAACCCCGAGATCACAAAAGGCCGTCTGACCGTTTCTACGAGTACACACTACTGATTACCTTGCGCGAGAAGATTCTCTTCAAATGCACGAACTC